TTTTAAGTGTTTTCTGAGCTTACTTTCCTGCAGATATTTTGTAAGGCCAAGTAAGATCACTCACTAGTGCATGGGAGAATGAATTTTGCTGATTGTTTTTATATGACTAGTTTGTCTTGCTAGATTTATGTTTTTTTCTTTGATAGTTCCTTGATAAAAATATTGTTTCTTCCCTAACACCATTTATTTTTCTTTGATATTATAATAAGATTTTAATATTTTATATTCATTTTAATATTTTATATTCATTTGGCTTTTATTGTTGGTATTTGAATGCTGGGTTGTACCTAGTTGTGTCATTCTGCTGGAAGATGTTAGTTCACCAATTGACTGGATTCTTAATAACTTTAAATATTTTCATATTTCTTCTGCAAGGATGGGAAATGTTTTAAAGCCAAATTGGAGTGCACAGGGTGGGGGAGATAAGATTGAAACAAGTCCCATTATATAAGTAGAATTTAGTTTTGTGCTGAATGTAAACTACTTTCAATATTTTATTCAAATGTTCTTCCTGATTTTTTTTACTCTTAAGGTACTTTTTTTAAAAAATAACAATTTCAGGAAGTATGTCTATAAATAAGAGGGATTAAATCACCGATGAGAAAGCACATCTTTAAATAAAGAGATAAATAAACTATTACTACATATATTGAAGTCATATCACAAATATAATCTAAATAATTTGCAATGGTTGTACCACTGAAATGGGTAAAATAGCTACTACTATCAACATCTGAAATAGAATTCTGATATATTATGCAATTATAACTTTAATCATTTTATAAAAAATAAATTGTTTATATTTATGGTCATAATTCTTAAATTGTTGTAAACATTTAATAATAAAATGTATTTATTTATTTAAGAATGCTTTTATGCTCCTTAAATATTTTGAGTCTGCTGTACATTTTTCAGATTCTTAAAAAAATGTTGGCATGCCCTCTCTTTAGCTGTCTTTGAAGGCCAATATAGGAATATTCCTTACTCGGAGAAACAATTTCTCTGTGATTCTGGACACACACAAAAAGCAGAACATGTGCTTCTCCAGTGTACCACAGAGACATTTGTACTAGCCTCATCTCACTGTTCCTGCATAAATACTCAGGTGCAAAGGACACTTCTCTACTTCCTTGCTACTTTCACATACTAACCCTTCTAAATTATACAATGTTGTGAGGTACTGGGTAGCAGTGTTGACAAATTTTTGGATGATGAAAAAGAAATGTGCCATAAATTAGATTTATTGAGCATCTAGTTCATCAAATTAGATAAATTTGATAGTTCTGTAATTTGTTTGTTATAGTCTTCCACATTCTAAACTTTTATGGGCACTATGCCCATCTAATTCTCCTACCCCTTGTTTTGGATTCTTATAGACTTTTATAAATAATTTCTATTTTAATATCTTCTACTTTTCTCATTTTTTTTTAGTTTCTGGTGTATTGTCTATGTTTTTTAATTGACTGTACCTCTCCCTTTATATGCTGGTCTATGACCAAAAAAAAAAGATTTCGTATTTTGATAATCACTGATAAACAATTTTGAAACTTTAAAAAGTGATAGCCACTAATATTATTTAGCCTTTGCCTCAGATTTTTCTAATATTGTTTTCATCTTATTCTTTCCACTTTACATTGTTCTAATACCTTTGAAACTTCATTGACTATAAGAAAGATCATGGGAATCACAAAGTAATGTTTGAAATTACCTGGATAAGACTGATATATTACTTTCTACTCAGTGGAAAGAATTCAATAGATTTTTTTAATACATTTTATATCTTTATATGCAAACTTCAGTGGTAAAACATGCTCTATTAGATCACAGCAGTGCATATTATAGCTTGCTTCATGGAGCAGTAGGAAAGCACAGGCCCAGAAAGTTTTGGGAGAACTCTGAATTTTTTGTGAGTGTTTGAATATAGGAAAACTGCAGTTTTATGATAGAGTTGAGCAAAAGGCTAGTTGAGCATTTCCAAGCCAGCTAATGATTTGGCCTATGTTTTGCAGATGTACTGATACTCTGAGAATCAAGATTAATAAATGAAGAGGAGCTGTTTAAGAGACTGTACTTCCATCTTTTTAGCCCATTTCACCACTCATTCCCAAATAATACATGAATGTTTAAACTGCAAATTGCTTTGTGATCTGGCCATAGCTGATTGGTCAGGTATGGAAAGTAGTTTGGCACTGGGCGGATTAATAATGTGTTGTGTCAATATCTCTATAACTCTTAACATTGAGGTATCTGCTGTATACTAACATGGTTTTGTGTTTAATGATCCAGATTTCTATAAAAGTCCTATTTAAAATAGGCAAAGTGCGGCAAAAGTCAATGTGTTTCACTAGTTTAGATCCTACTTCCTTCTTGATCACAGGGCATTGCATTATTCAGACTAATTCAGCTTGTTCTTTGTATCCTTATGTTCATTACATGAGAAATAACATATAAAGTAAGAGACACTGATGAGAGATCAGACTCTATGATTTGTAAATCTATATTCTTGATGTTTCTTTTTAATAATTAACAGTGATCATTCATAGAACTCATGCACTTTTATCAGGACTCTAGTTTTGTTGTGTTTCTGGATTTCTGGCATAGTTCTAAGCAGTGCTTCTTGAACACAATCCTGCAATTTTGATGAAGGATACCTTTAATTATAGCTGTCAGATAACAAGTGAAATCCAACAATTATTGCTGTGTATAATTATTAGCTGTCAATCATTTTACTAGTGCATTGAATTCTTTCTTTCTGGGCCATTATTTTTCCCCATTAGAATCCACTTCTTTCTGATATTTTTTGAAATACTATTTTTAAAAAGAATTTTGAATCCACTTCTCTGTTTTGTGAGTAATTAATTCTATATACTTAATTCATAAGCTTCTGAATAAGATATAAATTGTAAAACATTTCTTTTTATTCAGACTTTTTAGATTGGAAATGAATGCAGATTATATCATTATGAAACATAACAATGGAGTTGGTGTGTTAGAACAAAAGTTCAGCCTTCTGCTTCCAGCTACACAGCTGTCCCAAACATTGAGTCAACAGCCTGGATATTGTGTGGAAGTCACGTAAAGCTCTCTTCTTTGAAAGCTTAAGCAAATGTGGATGGTATATATTATTCTGACAGTGATTCATTTTCTGAAATAACAGTAAATAAGTCACAGAAACCTAGTACTTTTGTGAAGTTCTGATCTTTATGGCGTTCGCTTGTACATTATAAAGTTACATGAAATTATACCTCAGTGCTGGAGATACAAGGGGATTTGGAGTTCTATAGATTCTTAATGTCAGGTGCAAGTAACCAGGAACAGCAGTTAAATTCAATGCACTAATTTTATTACCTGCTACTTACACATGAGAATCTGCTCTATTAATGGTGAATGCAAATTGGCACTAGATAAGAATCAATGGAATTAATTGGGGGCCGGACTCAGTCTCTTTTATCAAGTTTTATAAAGGTGTGGGGGGAAAAGGGTTGGTATAAGTAATGGGGTTCAGGGTGGTGTTCAGGGAAGGAATTGGGATGGGAGTAGGTACAACAATGGGGTTGCCCCCAATGACATTCCAAGCTTTAGCAAACAAACTATCATCCAGGTACAAGTATTCAGTGGGATAGTTAATATCATAATAAGTAACTGCAGTCAACAAAAATAGCAATAATTATAAAGCATATCAATTAATCAATAAGCATAAATCATCTTAATAAATTACAAAATCAATTTCCATTAACTCATTTTGCTAACCATTGATAAAAACTTTCCCATGTTTTAAAATAGACTGAGTCTTCTTTGTCTTTAATCTCTAAAGTTAGTCTTTCCATTTCTGCACATTCTAGAATTTTCCTAATTATAATCTCATCCGATGGTACATTTTCATTTTTCCAATATTGGGCAAATGCTAGTTTCGCAGCTATCACTATATGTAATATTAAATACTCATTCTCTTTGCCATAATTAGATCCTAGTATTCCTAGCAAAAACAATTCTGGCTTAAATTCTATCTGTACTTTAGTCATCTTTTCCAGCCATATATGAATCTTGGACCAAAATTTCTTTGCACTAGGACATACCCACCAGATATGGTAGTAAATACCTGGCTTTTGTTTACATTTACAACAATTATTCGAAATACTTTTAAACATTTTCGCTAACCTTACTGGTACCATATGCCATCTATAAAACATTTTATACAGGTTTTCCTTATATGAGGCTGCTTTAGTCAGTTTAATATTTCTATCCCAAAGCTTTTGCCAAGTTTCTAAATCTATAGAGTACCAAAAATGTTTTGCCCAAATTATCATTGTCTCTTTTACTTGTTCTTCCATCTTCCATTTTAGCAGAAATCTATAAAGTTTCTTAATCAAATTTTCATCTGTTTTCAAGAGTGTTTGATCAAAATCTATCTGTTCTTTATAAAATCCCAATGTCTTTAGATCTTTCTCATATCTTGTTTGAATTTGTAAGTAAGGCCACCATGATAAGTCAATACCTTGTTGTTGTAGATCTTGCCTATCTTTACATTTTCCATCCTTGTCCAAAATGTCTTTATAAGTAACAAGTTTGTCATAATTGATTAAATTTGGGTAAGCAAAAGCTTTCATTGTTGAAAGCCACTCTGTATTTTAATGTAATTTTTTTGTTTTATTCTCTCCCATTCTAAAAGGAGTACATTCCTTATAGCATGGTTTTGAAAGTATCTGTGTATTTTGTTTTTCCCATACCACAGAAAGGCATGCCAACCCAATTGTAGGTCATGCCCCTCTAGGTAGAGAAGTCTTTTATTTCAACATTATCCATTTTTTTGATCCATGGTAAGATGGCCAGACTCAGTCTCTTGTGGCTACATAAGGATTCCAAACTGATAGTGTGTTTGACCCCACCTTCGGACTCTGCCTGTCTCTCCTACATTAAAAATAGTAATAATTGGGTTTTTAAGAACATAATCTTGAAGTCTATTTTTCATCTTCAATAGGCTAATCCTTTTAATAAAATAGATTGCATAGTTTTAATGGGATGCTCTTTCAATCATATTTAGACTTGCAGGTTCAGTTTTAGAAATTGCATTGACTTAAGTGGGCATTACAGAGCATAGGATTAAAGACTAAATGTTTAATTATGTGGGTAATACTAATAGTAATAAAAGCATAATCAATTATAATCCCATTTTCACAACTACTGGAGCTTGCCTTGTGATGGCAAAACATTGGGGAAATTGTTTTATGGCTTTTGGGATCCACAAATTGCATTTTATTTTCTTTCCCTGCACATTTTTTACTATTGGTGTAGAAAGACTATGCCAGTCCTTTCTTCTAAGTTGACTGCCATCGTTCACAGCTAATTTTTTTTCTGGAAAAAATCAGCATATGTTTGGACAATTTGCTAGCTTGCTTTGTCACAAAGAAATTGGCATTACTGTGCCACCCACTCTGTTATTTTATCCATTGCCAGGCTGCCTAAATTCTGACAACCATTTTTCATGTCATTTTTCCAGATGAAAGGTTTAGAGCTTGATATTTTCAGCAGGATAGGGTGTATGTGAATATAATCTTATGGCCATTAGACATATACTCAAAATGGTTTCTGACATAGCACTATTATATTTTTTAGCAATCTTGAAGCTTTTTACTAAACAAGACTGCTTGATAGAAATGTGAATGATTATTTCTGTGAATGAATTCTGCTTTACTGAGCAACATATAGAATTGCATATTAGTTGCTTTTTATTGAAGGGTGGGCTTTATAAATCAGTGAACAGACTAATAAAAATTTGAAAATATTAAAGCAGAAGTAGTTAAAATATTGTGGTATAAAAGAGCAGAAGCATTATAAAGATGAACTCAAAAACAACGCACAATGAATTGAACAAAGAAAGCAATGGAGGCAAATGATCTCTGCCTGGCATTAAAATAAACCAGATGAACTTCCCTAAAAAGAGCATTCCACACATTTCCAGTGTCAAATTGACCTATCCTGCAGCCTTTGAAGAAAGATCTCTTACTGCTTGAATATATTCTTTTATGCATCCTCAACCCCAAACAATGAAAACCTTAAAAGTCAAAAACTGTATCTGAGTATGCCAGAAACAAACTGAGAGCCAGAACAATTGGCAAACCACAGGTAAAATGTAATCATAATGCACAGTCTCAATTAATAGCCTCACACGTGCATTTTGGATTAATTGCAATTTCCAAATTGTCTTTGGAAATCTCATGTAAAGCACATTATAGTAGTCCAATCTAATTACTAATTACTCTTATACTACTAATGTTGAGTATCCAGAAAAGAGAAGAAAATGTAATCTTAAAGCATATAAATAAGCTCTCAAGAGCTGAATGCATAGAAGAATACCTGAATGCACAGGTAATACAGACAATGTACAATTGCTGTTGTTGTAAAGAAAGAAATCATAGTTTAACAATATGCATTCTTTGCACACCAGCATCACCAGATTTTACCCTTGAAATCTCAAATTAAAAGATCAGATACCAAGATATGGAAAATACTTTTGCCTAATATCTTAGACCAGTGATGGCGAACCTTTTAGAGACCGAGTGCCCAAATTGCAACCCAAAACCCACTTATGTATCGTCGGGTGCCGGGTGGGCGTGGCCCATTGGATGGGCATGGCCCATTGGGTGAGCGTGGCTGTGGTGGTAACAGCAGACTGGGTGGAACTAAAAAGTTCAATCAGTCAATTCCAACTTTGCGAGATCTTTTTTTTTCCCACGAGAAGTTGAAATTGACTGAACCTTTTTTTTTTTTTGCACATGGCGGAGGCCTAAAGCTAAAAGGTTTTATAAAACCCAGCTGAAGGCCTAGGACTGGGGCAACGGCACGTGTGCCCACAGAGAGGGCTCTGCGTGCCGCCTCTGGCACCCGTGCCATAGGTTCGCCACCACAGTCTTAGACCCTCAACCTATTGGAGATGATGGCAGTTTCTTAAATGATCACCTTTGATACAACAGTTTAAATTTAACTGTTAAGAACTTATAAAGCTTACAAAAATACAATGCAATGCATAGAACAATACAAATGTGAGAACATTTATGTACCATTTGCCATGATTCTGGGAAAGGGCAATTCTTTGTTTCCCTCTGTGGAAAAGAAGACTGAGAAAGAAGAGACAACTTTGCCTAAATTGTCTCCAAGGCATATGAAAGTCAGAAAGCTAAATGTGGACTGGTTGAAAGAAGATGTAAGGAAATGAGGTAGAAAAGTATTTGGAGATAAGACCTCAACAGGATTATCAATCCTGTCAATCAAAAACTCCCTCAGGTTCTGAAGTCTCTGGGGAAATATTTTAATGGGTCCTTCAGTGGTTTCTCATTGGTAATCTAAACCTCAAGAGGAAGCTATTGATAAAGTTTTGATAGATGTCTCCTCATTCCCCAGTCCAAAACTAGTTTTACTATACAGTCTTAACCAGATCCAAGCTATGACCTATCACATGTATTACACAGAAAATGAATAGAAAGAGTTCTAGATATGTCACAATGAGCATCAGTTGCTGAGCTAGTTATTAGTTTGGCCTCTGTGTAATTATTTAAGTTTCCCAGAATAGTCACAATCACCTCTACGATCAGTTCAGCCAGCTATTATGGAGGGGTCATGGACTAGAAAAATGGTTTTATCTCATTGGCTTAGTGCCAAACACAGGCTGTCAAAATTGGTGAAAAAGCAGAAGAATTTCCTGAGATGAGAATGGAATGTCTACACATAACAGTTATGCTAGGCCAGTTATACCCATGCAAAATAATATGTATATTTATCTATTAGATTTATAGGCCAGACAACTCCAGGTTGCTCACACAGTAAAAGCAATATGAAATAATAACAAATATAGCCTAAAAGGGGGGGGGGAATAATCTACTACATTATCGTTTGAATGGATACAATATATGTGCAGGTTTGGAATAATTGTATATGTATGATTCTGGTGGATCTCAAGCATAGGAATTATTTAAGAAAAACAAAGGTAGAGTGATCAGATTTCTACTTTAGATTTTTTTAAAAAAAAATACTTCAGAAGATTCACTCCCTTGCTTCACAAATAGCAAATAGTCTGATGGTTCACCTCAGCTCTCTAATCACTGGGCGCAGGGTCAGGGAGACTTTATGTCTTCTTCATTTGATTGCTCCAGCTATCCAACTAGTACCTGTATTTAATCAGCCTCATATGATTCTTGGCCTGGTGTCTCATAGGGCTGACATTCCACAAGTTCATCTAGAACAGCTTTTTCAAATTCAGATTCAGAATATGACTTCTGAACTTGGGTCATGACAGGCTGGGAATTCTGGAGCTGCATTCCAAAGTGTGAGTTTGTGAGAAAACTGATCTAAATCTTTTGGCAATACAACCATTTGTTCCGTGAATATTCCAATTTATAATGATACCGAATGATATTTATGACAGGTCCTCATAATTCCAGCCATTTCATCATCCCTGTGATCTGGGCACTTGGCACTTAGTTTGCAACGATGATGTTGTATCAAGCTGTAATCACATGATCACACTTTCAAACATTCCCTGCTAGCTTCCCACAAGCATAGTTAATGGGGAAGATGGCAAGAAGTTATAATTTGCAGTCTTCTGAGGCCCACATTTGACAACCTGCTTGGTCCTCAATTAATGATGGAAACTGGGAGTACTGGAATTGCAATTTTAAGTGATGTGACCAAGTGACATTGCATTTTGCAACTATGAGATTTAGTAATAGCAATTCTGCTCCCAATTGCTATCATAATCCAAGGACTACCTATAATTCTACAGATCAGTGAGGAAATCCTATTGTGCATTCTTTCTAAGAGATTGGATATAAAATTTACAATATTAATTGTAAAAACATTAAGAAAAACATTAATTTTCTGTAAACTTTATAGCTAAAATATGTTGACAATATGTTTTATTGAGCACAATATAATTTGCTTTTTTATTTATATTCATTTTTGTGCAAGAAAAAGTTACCCCACAACAATAAGCCTCAAGTTGGGCTGAGAGAGAATAATTAACCAAAATCACAGACTGAGTTTTTGTGCCTGAAGATAGACTAAAATCTGGGTCTTCTCCTACATCAACACCTTAATCTCTATACCATACTACCTCTCACTTGACAGTTGTTCATTATGATTTTATGTTGCAATAGTGTCACACTCAATGTGGCCTATACTCCACAAAAGAGAGTGCTTTTTAAAGATGTTTTTCCTTTTCCCCATCAAAATTGGCATAGGGAGATGATGGAACATCACTGAGGCATGTACACTATTGGGCTCCTCATTTTTAGCCTCACAAATTAATTGGTAGGCAATTTCTAAACCTGTGATTAAAGGTTTCATTTGATTAATGTACTAATTAATCAATTACAGTTCTTAGCCATAATTCCCAAGGGAACCTTCCCTGTCCTCATATCAGAAGGCTGCAGAAAATTTAGGAAAGTTAATATTAATTTTGATAAGACCACAAGTAGCTCTGTTTCAGGCACAGTAATATTGCTAATGGGAAGTTGGGGAGAAGAACAGGAATAGTATTTTCAGGGTTCATTCTTTTGATACAGACATGGATTTTAAATGTTTTATGTCTGATAAATTTCAGTCAAGCAGAGAAACAGAGAAGAAATAGACAATTTAGACAAATCACTCTATTGACTCATGAGAACACATTCTGGCATTATGAATTCTTATGCCACCATGTTGTTTGCAAAGATAGCTTTGACTCATTTCTATGTAAAAGTTTACTATCATTAATCATAAGAAAATTATTACTTTTTAAACACAAATAGTATAGACCCTTCTTCTAAAACCACACACACACATAAGCATACATACACATGCACAGATATACACACACACAAATATAAAAGTATGTCCAGGAAGATCTGCTCACAGGAGGGAAAGCAACTGGCAGTCTTTTTATTGACAAGAAAGATGGCGGGACACAGCTGCAAAGCAATCATCCAATGGGATGATGTGGCTGCAGGTCATATTAAACCTTTGCAAACTGTTGCC